GGTGGATGATGGGTGAATGGGTGGGTGGATGGGTGGATGCGATGAGATGAGTCGGGATGGGTGGCGTGGATGGATGGGGGGGGTGGGGTGCGACATGGGTGGGTGGATGGATGGGGAATGGGTGGATGGGTGGGTGGATGGTGGATAGATGGGTGAATGGGTGGGTGGGTGGGTGGATGGATAATGGGTGGATGGATACGATGAGTGATGGGTGGTGGATGGAATGGTGGTGGTGGGTGGATGGATGGGTGGGTGGGTGGGTGGATGGATAGATGGATGGGTGGATGGGTGGGTGGGCAGGTGGATGGGAGAAGGGAGTCAGGCAGGTGCCTCAGGTGTGCAGGTAAGCTGTTAGGTGCCTGTGAAGGACATTGCCGATTTGCCACAATCCCCATTCACCTCTCACCTTCTGACACCAAGGCCGGCTGCCCCTGTGGTCATGTGTGCCCAGGGCCTCCGTGACCCTGACCCACTTCACTCATTCAGTTCCCCCAGCCCCTGTGGGCACTGGAATGGCGGCCCCTCCTCCGTGTCCCTTGGATTTGATCACTCCAAAGACACGGGCATTCGAAGAACTCCAAGGATAAGAGGGAGAGGGAGGACAGGGCAGGAGAGTCGCTGAGACCCCGGAAAGCAGGTCCTCGTGCGGCTGCATGGGGTACTCACCCCGAGACTTGGCCCGGCCCTGCATGGAGTAGGCGGGGGTGCAGCTGCGGCCAAAGCGTGTGACTTTGGGGTCCAAGAAGTAGATGGGGCCCGGGCTGGTGTCCTGAGGTGGTGCTGGGGAGAGGAACCCGGAGTGCTGGGAGTGACTCCGAAGACAGTGCCTGCCCCACCTCCCGGCAGTGCCCCTGTTGGCCCCGAGACACTCCCACCAGGTCAGAGGCCACCCCAGCCCCATCTCGGAGTGGTCATCCCGGGGGCCCTGAGTTGTGGCTGCCTGAACTGAGTGGCCTCGGGTCCCTGCTCTGACTGTCTCAACCAGTTCTTCTGTCTCCTCACAATCGAAGTGCTTCCTGCGTGCTCTGCTCTGCTGCTGTTTGCAGTCCCCTCTGCCCCTCTAACCTCTGCGCAGGTGTGGGCTGGAGAACCAGCTCCTGGGTTTGCTGGAACTGGACATAATTAGGCTGAGTGTGGTGGTACACAACCGTGATCCCAGCGTTTTCGGAGGCCGAGGCAGGAGGGCCACTTGAGCTCAGGACTTTGAGACCAGCATGGGCAACACAGTGAGATCCCGTCCCTTCTAAACATTTAAAACTTAGCCACGCACATTGGCAGGCACCTGGGGTCCCAGCTCCTCGGAAGGCTGAAGGGGGAGGATCACTTGAGCCCGGGAGGTTGAGGCTGCAGTGAGCTGTGATCGTGCCGTGGCACTCCAGCCTGGGCAACAGAGCAAGACGGAGTCTAAAAAAAAAACTGTACATAAAGTAAGAGTAACAAGAGCAACTAGGCCCTGAGCCAGTGCCTGGGCTTGTTGGCAAGTCCCATGCTTAAGAGAGGCACTCGGCATTGGACCACATTTAAATCCAGCAGGGCGTCTCGTGAGCCGGTGACCTTGGCCAAGTCATTTATCCTAAGCCTTATTTTCCTCATCAGTATGTTGCGAAAATCAAACTGTGAGAGCATCTGCAGAAGGGAGTGATCCTGGGCCCTTGCAGTTCGTGATTGGGACCGGTTGCCATGATTGCCATTATTGCCACGCCAAAGTACATCCAGTGATGGATGCTGGGCACCTGCGTGTAGCAGCCTGACCAGTGTTCACGGCCCCACAGACCGCCTGTGCACACACTCCGTACACGTGGCAGCGAGCCACGGGTGAGGGAAGAAACGTCATCCAAACTTTCGCCCTCCCCTGAGGAGTCCGTGGCACGCAGTGTGGCCCAGACACGGCTCCAGACCTCCCCGAAACGTCATCCAAACCTTCGCCCTCCCCTGAGGAGTCCGTCGCACGCAGTGTGGCCCAGACACCGCTCCAGACCTCCCTGCCACAGGCACGAGTACTTGCACACACGCTGTGGTCCCCAAGGCAGGCTCACTGGCCACACTCCAAGGGTGGTCACTGACCCTTAGCCACAGCCTCATCGTTTCTTTGACTGGCAGGAGGGAGGGGGTCTATGTTTAGCCCCTTCCCTAGGCCCAGGGCAAATACAGTCCCCCAGGACTGCAAGAGGCTGGGGAGTTAGAGCGTCTCCCTCCATCGCCCAGGCTGGAGAGTGCAGTGGCTCGTGGCTCACTGCAGCCTCCACCTCCTGGGCTCAAGCAATCCTCCCACCTCAGCCTCCTGAACAGTTGGGACCACAGGCACCACCACCACACCCTGCTAATTTTATATTAGAAACCCTTCATCATGGCCAGACGCGGTGGCTCCCGCCTGTAATCCCAGCGCTTTGGGAGGCTGAGGCTGTGGATCACGAGGTCAGGAGATTGAGACCATCCTGGATAACACGGTAAAACCCCGTCTCTACTAAATGTACAAAAAATTAACCGGGTGTGGTGGTGGGTGCCAGTGAGCCGAGATCACGCCACTGCACTCCAGCCTGGGTGACAGAGCGAGACTCCGTCTCAAAAAAAAAAAAAAAAAGAAAAGAAAAATCCCGGATTATGATCCCATCGCCCCTCTGCAGATGCCTGGACCTCGCTCACGTGACCATAGACTCGCCTCAAAGTGCTCACTGTGCAGGGCTTGGCCATCAGGACTCCCCATGCTGAAGCACCGATCTCAGCCTCTGTCCTGCACCTGGAACCTTCCTGCCTTTTCTTCTGCCCTCCCCAACCCCTGGCTCAGTGCCCCGTGAGAAATGAACACACCCCAGATCATCGTGACATTGCTCATCTCTAGACCTCGGCCTACAAAGCATGCTCTGCCTGGAGTTCAGTTCTTCTGAGGGCTCCACCGAACTCCTACTCATCCTACAAAACCCAGATCCCATGCTCCACTTCCAGGGAGCCTATCCTGGGCCTTTGGCAAAGTGTGCACGATTCCCACGCCACCAGGCTCCCCACGCTGTCTCTGTCCCAGGAAGTGTCCCGAGACTGGGATTTGAACCTGGGAACTCAGATCTGTCTGGGTCACAGGCTAAGTTCTTAACCCGGTCCTGGGCACAGGGGATGCTGACGCCTTCACTGGCCTTCTGGGACCCCTTGCAGCTTCCTGAGTCCCAGTGTGGTCTGGGATTTTTGCTCATTCGGAAGGCTGAGAACAGGCTGCTGTCCTGCCCCTCCTCCAGCCAACCCTCCCAGCAGGCCTCTGTCCATATGAACCAAACTCCCCACACAAGACCCTTCCGACCACACTCCCAGCCCAGCTGGGACCTTGGAGCAGTGGTAGAAAATGGAGGGGTGGAATTTGGGAGCGCTGATGGGGGGTGGAATTTGGGAACACGGATGGAGGGGTGGAATTTGGGAGCACCGATGGAGGGGTGGAATTTGGGAGCACCGATGGAGGGGTGGAATTTGGGAGCACCGATGGAGGGGTGGAATTTGGGAGCACTGATGGAGGGATGGAATTTGGGAGCACTGATGGAGGGGTGGAATTTGGGAGGGGTGGAATTTGGGAGCACTGATGGAGGGGTGGAATTTGGGAGCACTGATGGAGGGGTGGAATTTCGGAGCATTGATGGAGGGATGGAATTTGGGAGCATTGAGATCCGCTGGCCCGTGCTAGCAGCACCACTAATGCACACCAGCAGCTCCCTGTGCACCAGGCGCGGTCCATGCCTGAGCCGCGTCACTCGTCAGAGCCCATCGCAGCCACTGCGCCCATTCTAGATAGTAGCAAGCACCACAGGGCAAGGCCACCAGCCCGTGGCACAGCGAGCCGGTGCACTCCTTGCCTGCCCTCCTGCCGTGCCTGCCTTCCCGCCGTGCTGCCCTCCGGCTGTGCTGCCCTCCCGCCGTGCTGCCCTCCGGCTGTGCTGCCCTCCCGCCGTGCTGCCCTCTGCCCGTGCCTGCACAAGTAGCCAGGAATGTCCACAGAGATACACGACGGCCCTGTGAGATGGGCCAGGCCTGGGGAGCCCCCACCTTCATGATGGAAAAACGGGCTCAGCCTCACACCCGACAGCTCACGTTTACTGAGCCCTTACTAATCGCTATGCATCACTGTGGCTACTATTTTTTCTTTTTTTTTAATTTGTTTTAAGACGAGGTCTCACTCTGTCGCCCAGGCTGGAGTGCAGTGGTGTGATCGTAGCTCACGGCAGCCTCGACCTCCTGGTTTAAGTGATCCTCCCGCCTGGGCCTCCCCAGCAGCTGAGACCACAGGCACACAGTACCACACCCAGCTTTGCAGCTACTTTTTTTTTTTTTTGAGACAGAATCTCACTCTGTCGCCCAGGCTGGAATGCAGTGGCGTGATCTCGGCTCACTGCAATCTCCGCTCCCGGGTTCACGCCATTCTCCTGCCTCAGCCTCCCGAGTAGCTGGGACTACAGGCACCCACACCACACCCGGCTAATTTTTTTGTATTTTTAGTAGAGGCGGGGTTTCACCGTGTTAGCAAGGATGGTCTCGATCTCTTGACCTCGTGATCTGTCCATCTCAGCCTCCCAAAGTGCTGGGTGAGCCACCGCGCCCGGCCTAGTATTGTTAACTTTTAACAGAAACTGAGTTGCAGAGCACTTAAGCAATTTGCCTGAGCAGCAAGGAATTGCAAACGCAGGAAGGCAGGTACAGGTCTTCACCTCCCTACAACGCTCTTTCTCCTTCCATTCTCTTCATCAATGAAAAAACAGAGGGACAGCAGCTTGCCTGAGGTCTCACAGCAAGTAGGAGGTGGAGCAAGTCATAGAGCCCAGCCCTGCCTGCTTCCTGCTGCGCTAACTGGGGGCCTGGATCTAAGGGGTAAGGGGACCCATCGGTGCCCCCGGGGGGACATTGGAGGATCAGGGAAGCCCCCGGCCGCCCGCCCGCCCGCCCGCCTTACCCTCACTGGGCCTCCGGACGAGCGAGTAGGCGGGACTGGCCACCCTGGTGCAGTCGTGGTTGATGAAGCCCACAGTGGACGGCAGGACGTACAAGCCTGGCCCTGAGCCTGCAGCCCAAAGCCCTCAGGTCACCACCTGGGCCCAGATTCCCCAAGGAAGGAGCCCTGGACCCAGCTCCTGAGCCTTAGCCTGGGTTCCCCTCTCCCTCCATGATGAGGATTGGGGGCCCCGGGGACCAAGAGGCTGCTGCCCCTCTGGAGACAATATATGATGCCTGCATTGTGAGTCAGACATGAATCACAGAGGGGAGGGCAGGGGAGGGAAAGGCAGGGGAGGGAAGAGCAGGGGAGGGAAGGTCTGGGGAGGGGAGGGCAGGGGAGGGAAGGGCCGGGGAGGGCAGGGCCGCGGAGAAGGCAGGGGAGGGAAGGGCTGGAGAACAGCAGCGGCCCTCACCCTGGGGCACAGATGGGGAGACTGGGGCCTGAGCCTCCCAGAGATACACGTTCACAGATGGGGAGATGAGGCCCAGGCAGAGCTGCACGGTCACAGATGGGGAGACTGAGGCCTGATCCTCCCAGAGATACATGGTCACCAATGGGGAAACTAAGGCCCAGGGAGAGGTACACGTTCACAGATGGGGAAACTGAGGCCCAGGCAGAGATACGCAGTCACAGATGGGGAAACTGAGGCCTGAGCCTCCCAGAGATACATGGTCACAGATGGGGAAACTGAGGCCCAGGCACAGAGATACACAGAGGTGGGGAAACTGAGGCCTGAACCTCCCAGAGCTACACGGTCACAGACGGGGAAACTGAGGCCCAGGCAGAGATACACAGTCACAGATGGGGAAACTGAGGCCCAGGCAGAGATACACAGAGGTGGGGAAACTGAGGCCTGAGCCTCCCAGAGATACATGGTCACAGATGGGGAAACTGAGGCACAGGCACAGAGATACACAGAGGTGGGGAAACTGAGGCCTGAGCCTCCCAGAGCTACATGGTCACAGATGGGGAAACTGAGGCCCAGGCAGAGATAACAGAACCCGAGGACCTGGCTCGGGGCTTGACTCCAGCTGCTTGTGCTGAGGAAACTGCGGCCCGGGCTGGGCCCTCACCGAGGCCGGCAGCTGACGTGGTTCCCAGCAGAGCAGCCTCCGCACACGCGCCCCTTGCCCTGACCCGCGTTGTCTACGGCGCCCGTCCCCGAGGGCCACGCTGGAAACGTTCCCTCCTCCCCACGTCTCCCGCATGATCGCTGTGGCTTTGCCCCCTGCTGTACCCACAGCCCCTGGAAAGGGCCCGGCCCACAAAACACTCAGCTTCCGTTGGACAGAAACATACTCGGGGCCCAGGCAACCCCGTGTCCACACCCATCCTGCCGGAAGGAAAACTGAGCTTTGGGGGAAGGCAAGGACTTGCCTGAAACTCTTGCCTCCTGCTGGGCTCCCAGAACATTCCAGAAGCCCCAAAAATGGGGGGAATGGAGCAGGAAAGGGTCCCACCTGTCCCCCGTGGCTGGCACGCACCGTTCTCCAGGGTGGCCGTCCCACAAGACTTCCTCAGGCCGGTCTCCGGAATCTGGCCCTCCATCACTCGCCGGCCAAGGGGGGCTGTGGCCAACCGTGGGGCGGGGTTGCAGCTGAGGGTCCCCATGGTGGGCAGGCGATGGCCCCGGCAGCACCCACGGGGCCTGGTGCTACCTCCTGAGCCTCAGCAGCTCTGGCGGCCACAGGCCCAGGCACCGTCCCCACCTTCACGGCCTCACCACACCCTCCCACGACCACAGCTGCACAGACAGCCCCTTGTGCCACAGCAGGGAGTCGTGGGGCCCTGGCCTGAGGCAGGCTGGTCGGCCGGACACTGGCCTGGAAGTGGGGCCGGGATCGAGTGTCGGCCAGGCGGCTGGACAGTCCAGGAAAGAGTCCGGTGTCAGCAGAATGTGTCTCCCGGGAGCCGGCAGAGCTGGGCGGCTGGGGCCAGGGCCGGCCCCAGGGAACTAGACCTGCAAACATGACACCCACAGCCTCACAGCAGGAGGGACTGGCGGGGTCGTGGGCGGCGTACCCCCATTTCTACACCTGGGGAAACGGAGGCACGGCCCAAGGTCATACAGCAAGTTCACAACTCTGGGAGTTGCAACTCTGCGCCAAGAAGCATTACTGCCTCATCCTGTCACTCATTCCTCCCATAAGCACGTACTGGGCACCTACTGTGTACCAGTTTCTGTTTGGGGTGGTGAGAACTGGACAGGAACAGACAGAAAAGAAGATGTTCTCAAGATGAGAAAGTCGGCCGGGCGCGGTGGCTCAAGCCTGTAATCCCAGCACTTTGGGAGGCCGAGGCGGGTGGATCACGAGGTCAGGAGATCGAGACCATCCTGGCTAACATGGTGAAACCCCGTCTCTACTAAAAATACAAAAAACTAGCCGGGCGTGGTGGCGGGCGCCTGTAGTCCCAGCTACTCGGAGGCTGAGGCAGGAGAATGGCGTGAACCTGGGAGGCGGAGCTTGCAGTGAGCCGAGATCGCGCCACTGCACTCCAGCCTGGGTGACACAGCGCGAGACTCCGTCTCAAAAAAAAAAAAAAAAAAATAAGATGAGAAAGTCGTCAGTAAATGTGATAAGTGAACACAGTCTGGTGTACGAGGAGGCACTGTGTGTGACTGAAAACGCAGACGGGTTTGGGGTTCAGGGTGGCAGTGTGGGTGCAGGCGAGCCCCGCGGAGAAGGTAAAACCGAACCGTCCCCAAGCAGGTGAGGAGGCAGCGTGCAGAGACCTGTGAGGAGCGCACGTCAGCGTGAGGGACACCTGTGCACAGGCCCTGGGGCAGCGGCGAGGACAGAGGGGAGGTGGGAGCCGCCCTCACTGCCTCCAGGAGTCTGCGGGATTTAAACCGCGATGGATTTTGATTCACTGAAGGCGACCACTGCGTGAGGCTCCAAGAAGAGGCTCAGAAAACTGCCAAATGGGAGGCACGTTCCTGTCTCCTCCTTGTTCGTTTCTGTATTTTTTGGAGCCTTTTGCAGTGTAATTTTTTTTTTGAGACGGAGTCTCGCTCTGTCGCCCAGGCTGGAGTGCAGTGGCACCATCTCAGCTCACTGCAACCTCCGCCTCCTGGGTTTAAGCGATTCTCCTGTCTCAACCTCCGGAGTAGCTGGGACAACCTGACTCTATTTTTAGTAGAGTCAGGTTGGTTGGCCGGGCTGGTCTCGAACTTCTGACCTCAGATAATCCACCTGCCTCAGCCTCCCAGAGTGCTGGGATTACAGGCGTGAACCACCACCCCCCGCCCCGCAGGCATCTTCTTGTCTCGTTATCACAGCATCTCGGTGAGGGAAGCACTGCCACAAACCCTAATGTGTTGTTACAGATGGGGAAACTGAGGCTCTGGGAGACAGTAACATGCACTGAGTCCCTCAGTAACTCATCAGGGGATCCAGGACTTGAACCCAGGGTTCTCGGACTCAGATTTAATATCAAAGCTTCGGGCTAAGTGCCTCTGGGTTCTCATCCCAGAGCAACTTTCCGGAAACACTTAGAATTCTCCGTATTAGGGCCCGGGCCGCCGGCGGCTCACGCCTGTAATCCCAGCACTTTGGGAGGGCGCGAGACGGGGGGTCACGAGTCAGCGAGAATCGAGACATCCTGGCTAACACGGTGAAACCCGTCTCTACTAAAAATACAAAAAACTGAGCCTGGGCGTGGGGGCGGCGCCTGTAGTCCCAGCTACTCGGGAGGGCCTGAGCAGGAGAATCGGGCGTAAAACCCGGGAGGCGGAGCTTGTAGTGAGCCGAGTTCGCGCCACTGCACTCCAGCCTGGGCGACAGAGCAAAGACTCCGTCTCAAAAAAAAAAAAAAAAAGAATTATCGTGTGGATCCCTGCAGCCCTCAGTATAAAACCCGAACGCTCACCGTGGCACACAGGCCCTCCATGGCCTTGTCCCCACCTCCCCCTGCCCTCTCATCCTGTTCCTGTCCCCTCTGCTGCTCTACTCTGGCCATCCGGGCCTGCTGGCTCTCCCTCGAGCCCCTAAGCTGGTCCCCACCTTGGCCTCTGCCTGAGCTCTCTCTACCTGAGATGCCTCTGCCAGCAAATCAACCCTCACTGGCTCCTTCCTCGGTCACGAGGGCCCCCAGCCCACAGGCCCTGTCACCGCCCAGCCCTGGACACACCGTGTGCTTGTTTCCAGAGGCAGCACAAACTCCAGAGACACAGCAGGAATGGGTGCTGAGGAGGGAGAGGGGGGGAAAAGACCTCAACCTCTCTCGGCCAGTCAACGCCGCTCAGCCAGAAGTGCAGGGCCAGGGCTCCCAGGGCTAGAGAGACAGAGGAGACGAGGGCCTAGAAGTTCTTCCCCCAACTCCATCCCTCCTCACATCCGTGTCACCAGGTCCAGGCCACACCAGACAGCCACGAAGGGCAGCCAGCCAGAGACCTTGGTTCCAGCCCCAATTGATTCAGTTTCCCCTCTGTGACATGGGCTGTCAGACCCCTACAACCAGGTTCCAGCCAGGACTGGCCCCACCTGCCTCCGTCTCCCCATTTTACGTGGGGTGGAACCAAAAGCTAACACAGGGAAGGCAGGACAGGAAGCCGGCCAAGCCAACAGCGTGTTGCTGTGAGGACGCTGAGGGCCGGCAGCCGAGCTGGGACCCCTCCAGCCTCCAGTCCCCTTCTGATCCGATCGCACCAGATTCTATCACCTCTGTCTTCAGCTCAGAGCTTGTCTCAACTGCCAAGCAAAGAGCTTGCAAATGAGATGCAAATGAATTCAACGCACACGCAGAGAAGCCCTGATTTTAATCCTGTCTGTTCGACAGAAGAGACTAAATCCCAACAGTGAAAAAAAGGGAGGCTGGACTGGATGAGAGGCCGGGCGCCGGTCCCACGTCCACCTGCCCAGCTGCCGGCTACAGGGGAGGGACATCACTGCCCTGCTCGGTGTCCTGGAAGGTGACGCTGTAGGTGCTCCCGAGACCCTTGTTCTTGCTGTAAATAGGAATTCAGCCAGTGTTTATTTGGGGCCAGGCCCTGCTCAGGTGCTGGGAAAACGGGAGGGGACAGAACACACAAGTTCCTTGTCCTCCTTTTCCCTCGAGACAGGCAGGCAGGTAAGTGCAACTTACGTGAGTGCAGAGGGCACGTCACTATGGAGAAAACGTGGGCGAAGGGGCATGTTAGAGGCCGAAAGAATGAGGGCCGTGATCAACTCAGTACAGCACCGGGGGCTATAGGAGTAAACAGCAAACTGTTCTCACAAATGCAGAATGTTGGCAAACTGACAAACTGCGTCTGCTGCGCACAAGGGCTGCTGAGGGCGTCACCATCCAGGCACGAGTGTTTCTTAGGATTAGGCATAACTGAAGCCTGCCAGTAACAACATGAACCTGTGGTCAATTAAACAGCTGATCAATCCTTACCTCCTCCTCCCTGCTCTTGTTACCCAATAAATACAAAGGGTTGTAGAAGCTCAAGAAGCAGCCTTTGCTCATTAAGATCAGGGAGCTCTTTTCTCTTCTTCCTTTTTTTTTTTTTTTTTTTGATGCAGTTTCACTCCTGTCGCCCAGGCTGGAGTGCAGTGGCGCGATCTCGGCTCACCACAACCTCCACCTCCCGGGTTCAAGGGATCCTCCTGCCTCAGCCTCCCGAGTAGCTGGGATTAGAGGCATGTGCCCCCACGCCTGGCGAATTTTCTATTTTTAGTAGATACAGGGTTTCTCTGTGTTTCTCAGACTGGTCTCAATCTTCCGACCTCGTGATCCTCCCGCCTCGGCCTCCCAAAGTGCTGGGATCACAGGCGTGAGCCACCACGCCCGGCCCCTTCTTCTCTCTTTGCTTCTCTTTTCTTCTTCCCCATGTTGCCCTTCCTTTAAAAGTTTCTTTTGTCTTAAGTTTTCATTTCTATTTAAAAGTTTCTTTTGTTTCTTGTTATCATTTTCAACTTCGTCCCTTCCTTCAGTCTTATGACCGTCTCACAGGAGTAACTGCAGTAACAGCGGTCTCGGGCAGTAACAGGAGTAACTGCAGTAACAGCGGTCTCGGGCAGTAACAGGAGTAACTGCAGTAACAACCGTCTCGGGCAGTAACAGGAGTAACTGCAGTAACAACCGTCTCGGGCAGTAACAGGAGTAACTGCCGGGACGTGGGCCACGTGAAAGCTGTGGGCAGGGACGAGTCCCAATCAGAGCTCACAGGCGCCCTCTGCTGACATCTGGGAGAGCAAAACGTGGGCGGTGCCGGGAGAGGGCGTCACATGCTGGGAAGGATGATGGGGATGGTTGACAGAAAGGATAACTGGACGGAAGGATGATGGAGAAGCATGATGGGAAGGATGACGGGAAGGATGACAGGAAGGATGACGGGACAGATGGTGGGAAGGATGACGGAGAATGACAACAGGAAGGATGATGGAGAAGGATGATGGGAAGGATGATGGGAAGGATGATGGAGAAGGATGATGGGAAGGATGACGGGAAGGATGGTGGGAAGGATGATGGAGGATGATGAAGAAGGATGGTGGGAAGGATGATGGGAAAGATGACAGGAAGGATGATGGAGAAGGATGGTGGGAAGGATGATGGGAAGGATGGTGGGAAGGATGACGGGAAGGATGGTGGGAAGGATGGTGGAGAAGGATGATGGGAAAGATGATGGGAAAGATGATGGGAAGGATGACGGGAAGCATAATGGGAAGGATGATGGAGAAGGATGATGGGAAGGATGACGGGAAGGATAATGGGAAGGATGATGGAGGAGGATGATGGAGAAGGATGGTAGGAAGGATGATGGGAAGGATGGCGGGATGGATGATGGGAAGGATGGTGGGAAGGATGACAGAGAAGGATGACAGGAATTATGA